CCTCCCCGCCGCGGTGCGGTGAAAAGAGTGTAGCTAGGAAACAGCGAGCGGCCCGAAAAGGCGGAATTTCCAACGTGTAAAATGTTCTTAACGGAGCTATTGAGAGAGTGCAATAAGGCGTGAGGGGGAACTAATCTCCCCATTTAAATGTTTGTGGCAATTTTATCTAAATGAATTTTAATGCTAAACGAGGGATAATTCCCTATTTGTAACCCGTTTACTTCTCTTTCCTGTGTCTCTGAGGCCGTCTAACATCATGTGATGAACAATCACAATAAAAATACTGTCAAGGCATATTCTTCATTTTGAACGTGTTATAATTACAGCTGATTAAATGTCTTGGGATATAACAGTGGGTTTAATTTGAAATGTGCTCCTCCCCCCAAAAAAAGGAGAAAAAAAAAAGAGGAAGGTCCAATGGGGGCAGGTCTGTGCCCCACTTCTGTGCGGCTGCGAGGAGGAAGGGACGCGTGTGCCCTCGCATGCAAGAGGGCGGTTTGTTTTTGTCTTTCGAGAAACATTTTAAAAACCCCGCAACAAAACAAACCCCCAAAAAAGCAAAAAGCGAGCCCCGTTCATTCATGTTTTGGCAGGAAAGAGGCATTATTTTGGCCTCACAAAGCGGGAGCCGGAATATGCAGCCTCTTTGGCGGTACAGAGGCTCTTAAAAACAAAACAAAACAAAACGGGGGGGAAGGAAAATAAACAAACATAAAAAGTAAACAAGAAAACTCAAGAGATTTAAAAAATAAAGAAAAAAAGGAAGAGATCCAAGGTGCGGGAGGAGAGGACCCTGCTTTGGTGGCGTGTTAATTCAGAAAGTCTGCGCTGCAGGCCCCCAGCCCTGCCTGTCCGTTGCCCGCACCCTGCCTCAGCCCCCTTTGCCTCCTGCCCAGCAGCCACAGGGGACCCTGTTCTGGGGGAGGGAGCGTCCACTGGGCAGCTGCCCCTCACAAGATCCCTGGGACACGGCCCCGCCGCAGGGTGCCGGGTGGCTGGGACGGGCAGGGGGTGAACGATTTTGCCTTAATTAAAATATATGTGTATTTTTCCTGCCCCCGGGAAACTCTATTTTTTTAATACAGCTGCAATTTTATTTAAAGAAAATGAAAGAAACAAAATTTATTGACAGGCAACAGTTCCCATCCTGACAGTTTACAGGGCGACTTCTGAGAAAGTTTCTTTATGCAGTGTAGCATTACCTTCACATTCTTTAAGTACGAAGTCGATATTTAAATAGCAAATTATAGGTACATCTCTGGAGTTATTTGAACTTTGTAGCTGCTTGGGTCCCAATTTGAGATAAAAGGGCTACAAATAGTGAAGGGGGGCAGGAAACAAATTTTGCAAGCAATGGAGTCACCATGACAAAAAATAATTTGTTTTTATTTTTAGATTCAGATTTCATTACTGCACTCAAACTACTACAACTGGGCTTTGAGTTTTTATACAATCCAAACTGTTTCAATCAGAAACTCTAAGACTCAGTGTGCAATGATTATTATTAATAATAATTAGCTCCTTGGTTTCTTGATAGAAAAAGGCTATCAACAAGCATTTGTTTAACCACAACAAAAGTATAATTAGCTTATCCCACTTAGTAAATCTGTATGCATGCCAACTCATACCAAACTGCTACTTTTACAAAAAATTGCAATAATACGGATCATTTTTCCAGTCCTTTTTGCACAAAATTTATTTACAATGTATACATAAATGCTCCGTGATGGGACTATGGAAAAAAAAATGCACACATGACCAATGTCTTGCCCAGAAAGAAAGTCAACATATTAAAAATAAATCTTCAGTCCATGTTTCGAGCTGCATAAAACAGGAAGTGATGCACACGGTGATGGTTGCTGCATGGGGACAAGGATGCTCTGATGTGACAATTAGGCTTCAAATACACTGCCTTTCCGTTTCCATGCTTCCTCCTACCAGTCTCCTTAAGACACTGCCTGCAACAGCTGATTAATCATTGTTGATGACTGCAGTTTTTCCCATCCTGCCCGATTTACATCTGTTCAGGCCAATTCAAATATGGTGAGTAAATGAATTAGACATGCAAATTCACGCCCCAGGCTAGAAAGAGAGAGAGGGAGAGAAAGGGGAAAAAGGGAGAGAAAGGGAAGAAAGACAGAGAGAGAGGAGGAGAGAGAGAGTGTGCATGGCTGAAATCCTAGGATAGAAGAAAGATTCTTCTGCCTGACATAGTTATTGTAATGCTCTAAAAATCCTGCAAATAAGCCCTTTCTGTCATTTGCAGGAAAAGTGTAAGGCTTCTTTTTTTTAATGTAAGGAGGCTTCTGGAGGAAGTGAAGAGCTATGGAAACAACACACATAGTGTGGAAAAATTTCACTTTTTTTTTTAAAAAATCTATAAGAAACAACGTAATATGGATAACAGTATAATAGCATTTTACAATATTTCACTCTTTTGTTCTCTTAATGTCTTATTTAGCATGTCCCCAGAAGTTGACTTCGGTTGGTGTTTTCCTGCTTTTCAGGGTCCCTGTGAAGAATCGGAACATCCCTTGGTCCAAAGTTGACACCAAGAACTCCATAGTCATTGCAGAAAGACAATGTTTGAAATCTACAGTCGCTGCAGACAACGCGTATTTCCCTTAAGCTACTGAGCATGAATGTCCATCACTTGTCCGCTCACTGCCGGCTCGCCGGTATGAAGCACTGTGGGGCTTGATGCTGACATGGGCATTCCAAGGTGGGGAGGTCCTCCATGCATCATCATCGCTGGGTGGTGAGGGTGTCCAGGAATGTAGGTATGCATGGGAGGGCCATGATGCAGCTGAGCGGGATGGGGGGGCATCTGGGGTGGGGTATAGTTTGGCTGTCCCATATTCATACCCATTGGACTACCCCGAGACACATAATCCCCTGGCATACTTTGCAGCCCTGCGGAGAGAAAGAGGCGGTGGTGAGCGGTAGGGACCAGGTACTGGTATCAGGCCATGAAGCTTCTCTGCTCAGCCACGGGAAGGCCGGGGCTCAAGCCTAACGTGGGATGTGGATGCACAAGTGCAGTTGCCTTTGTGGGATCCAATCCTACATACATACTCACAACGATGGCAATGAGAACAATTACCAGTTCAAAAAAAACCCCAAGAACATCCTCCCCCCTCCAAATACAGAGTTCTGGGAGATAAAACTCTTTTCTGCTTTTGTGGTTAGGAACGTGTGCGATGGAGATGTGTCTGATCTGGCAACGTGGTGGAGACAGAGCCAGCCCGATGACGACTATCATCACACAGGATGGTGGCACCAAGCCAGGGAAGCCCTGCGAGGGTTTTCAGGTGGGCTCCATCCCCTGTGGCCTTGCTTCAGTGACTTGCCTTCGTCTCTCCCTTTGTAAAAGCATGCTGGGAATACAAAGACCGGGAATCCATAGTGGTTAATGAGGGGCTTGGGAGAAGAGATGGGTTAAATCAGTGTCGAGGTTTATCAACAGTTATTTATTTAGCTCTTGAGCCTGATCATTTGGAGTCTGTCCCAAGTATTTGTGCCATTCAAACAGATGCTATACAGCAAGCAGATACATTGCTGAACAAAGGCCTCATATGAAGCCAAAATTGTTAGGATTACTAAGGACAACTGTATCAAACCTGTATTTTTAAACACAGAAAAAAATATATAATCAGTAAGAATTATCAATTAATTCTTTGCCCCTGCTCACTTCTGTCCGCAAAAATCAGATGCACAACTCAGTCAACCTTTCAGTGGGTTTGGGAGAACAATAAGAAAAAAATTGGACCTAAAACAATAAAACCTCCTGCTTTCCATGGGCCTCTGCCTTCTGCTTGGATTGCTGTAGCTGATGGGAACTGACAGGTGTATTGTTTCGGAGAGCTATAAGCTCCATAATCATCAAGGGTGAAAGGCATAAGCTATTGCTAAGTAGGTTCAATTGGCTTTAGTTCTAAGTAAGAGTGCGCTGTGAATGCACCGAACACCTTGGAATCAGGTCTCAAGGCTCTAGAAATGAATAGCTGCTTAATCTAGCCTAAAGGAACAGTTTTGAGCTAATGAAAATTGCTTATAAAATATACTGTATTCAAAGCTCTTTAATCAAAAAAGATGATAATATTTTTTGTAATAACCTATTAATTTAATTGGTCTCAAAGCATAAAATACATCGTTTAAATTTAATTGACCCAGAAACTAAGAAACAATATTTAAATTAACTAAGCTAGAAATTTCCATGATGAGGTAATAAGGCTGTTGCATTCCCAAGCTCAGAGGAATGTTTTCACAGCTAATTGTGAAAACTCAGTTTTGACTAGCACCCAGAGAAGACAACTTGGCCTGGGTAACTTCAAACTCTATGTTAATATAGGCTGGGGGCACAATAAAGATGCTGAAATAACTGCTTTTAACTCCAGAAAGAGAGTGAAAGGAACAGAATCAGGCACCATTTAAAAATGGCACCAGTGCCTCAGTGTTTCAAACTGCTTTACACTTTTTTAGGAAAAAAACCAAACAACAAACCAACCAAAATTTGTAAAATGTATTTTCCCCTATAAAAAAACAAGGGCGGGAGGGGGAAACCCTGGGACAGTTTTTCTAGGCTTTCTTTGCAAGGCCTGCCACTGAAGATTGCATTAATGATCTCTACTTTTGTATACTGAATAAGTCAAATCCATTTGTCACACTGCAAGTGATGGCATACTTAATTTGGATATAGTCAATTAGCCTGGGCTAAGCTCCATAGCCTGCTGTGCACACCTCTATTTTGTATTCTCTCTTTTTCCTTTGCCACACGTAATCCCATTATGATGGACAGACAAAGAGAAATAAACTGGGGGGGGGGG